CCAGCCTGATCAAGAGCGAGACCCCGTCTCTACTACAAATAGAAAGAAATTAATTAGCCAACTAATATATATAGAAAAAATCAGTCGGGCATGGTGGTACATGCCTGTAGTCCCAGCTACTCAGAAAGCTGAGGCAGGAGGATCACTTGAGCCCAGAAGTTTGAGGTTGGTGTGAGCTAGGCTGATGCCAGGGCACTCACTCTAGCCTGGGCAACAAAGTGAGACTCTGTCTCAAAAATAAATAAATAAGTAAATAAAAAATAAAAAGTAGAAGGCCGGGCGTGGTGGCTCACATCTGTAATCCTAGCACTCTGGTAGGCTGAGGAAGGCGGATCATTTGAGTTCAGAAGTTCGAGACCAGCCTGAGCAAGAGTGAGACCCTGTCTCTATTTAAAAAAAAAAAGTAAGATTAAAAAAATTTAATTAATTAAAAAAAAAGTAGAAGTAGTAGTAGAAAGGAATTTAGAGAGATTTGAAAACATTCCTAAAAACAAGAAGCTCTGAGATAGTACCAGCCCAGGAGAGATGGTAGAAGATATACACATATGCCTCTACTTTCTGCCATTTTTTGGTCCCTCACCCACTACCCACTCACACTTAGGATCAGGAAGAGTTTTATGTATAATGGAAAACAATAAAGAAAAAAACCAGGAAATGCAAACAAAACAAAACAAAACAAAACACCTAGGGTTAGCCGGGCATGGTGGCACATGCCTGTAGTCCCAGCCACTTGGGAGGCTGAGGCAGAAGGATTGCTTGAGCCCAGGAGTTTGAGGTTGCTGTGAGCTAGGCTAACGCCATGGCACTCACTCTAGCCTAGGCAACAAAGCGAGACTTTGTCTCAAAAAAAAAACCACCTAGGGTTAATTAAATTAGGAGGATATTGGCTGAATGACGATTTTTAAAGCGGCAGGTATATAGAGCTATGGTTCTAAATTAATTAGAATAACCTCAGACAAAGAAATAGGAAGAGTCTTCTCTCAGGACAGAGTTGAGCTTGGGCTTTCTGCAGACCTGTCATCAATGGAGATCAGGCAGGCGATTATAAATATTTTGTTTCTCAAGTTTCTGAGATGGGAATACATTCCATACATCCAATAGTGCATACAGAGGGAATAAATACTGTTATTTTATTTATTTATTTTTTTGAGACACAGTCTCACTCTGTTGCCCGGGCTAGAGTGAGTACTGTGGCATCAGCCTAGCTCACAGCAACCTCAAACTCCTGGGCTCAGGAGATCCTCCTGCCTCAGCCTCCGGAGTTAACTAGGACTACAGACATGCGCCACCATATCCGGCTAATTTTTTCTATATATTTTTAGATTTTCCAGCTAATTTCTTTCTATTTTTTTTTTTTAGTAGAGACGGGGTCTCGCTCTTGCTTAGGCTGGACTCAAACTCCTGAGCTCAAAAGATTCGCCCACCTAGGCCTCCCAGAGTGCTAGGATTACAGGTGTAGGTGTAAGCCACCATGCCCTGCCCTAAATACTGTTATTTTAAGATGATATTAGCAACAGGCTAAGAAAAGTTATTCTAATACCAATAGTAAACTGGATCCTCATGTCAAAATAAAGTTTGATAATTATTTTCTCATTTTTTTCATCTCTAGGCCACCTTAAGCATAACCTAATAGTCAAGGAAGATAGGAGAAAAAAATGCTAAATTCTCTCTCAATAAACAAACCAACCACAAAGCAAAACCAAAACTTCTTTTTTTTTTTTTTTTGAGACAGAGTCTCACTTTGTTGCCCAGGCTAGAGTGAGTGCCCTGGCATCAGCCTAGCTCACAGCAACCTCAAACTCCTGGGCTCAAGCAATCTTTCTGCCTCAGCCTCCCAAGTAGCTGGAACTACAGGCATGCACCACTATGCCTGGCTAATTTTTTCTATATATATTAGTTGGCCAATTGATTTCTTTCTATTTTTAGTAGAGACGGGTTTCGCTCTTGCTCAGGGTGGTTTTGAACTTTTGACCTGGAGCAAGCCACCCGCCTTGGCCTCCCAGAGTGCTAGGATTAAAGGCGTGAGCCACCGCGCCCAGCCAAAACTTCTTTATTATGACTTTCAAATTAAGATAATAGCTAACATATAATGCCTACTATGTGCCAAACATTGTTCTAAGTACTTTATATGTTATTAACAATTCTTACATCAACCCTATGAGGTGGGTTCCACTTTATAGATAAGGAAACTGAAGAAGAGAGACATTAAGTAGCTTACCAGACATCATGAAGCTAATAAGTAGAATATGAACCAGGCACTCTGGGCTCTTAACCAGTAAGTTATGCTGCTTTATTTATGTAAGAAAATTATTTTCATGCTATAGCTTGGTGAAAAGTATTAAAGTTGTAGCTACTGTCTTAATACAATTATAAGAAACGGTTTGATAACTAATGCTGCACTACAAAATTATTTTTGGGGTCTTTGTCAAAATAGCTAATTTTCTAAAAACAAAATTTTTGCTTTTGTGTTATCTGCACTTTAGGAATAGAGGAACTAAGACTGAGCCTTTTGGAAATTTGTTTAACCATCGAGTAACAGCTGCCTTTTGATATCCCTCAATAATACAAACATCTTGGCCTGGCTCGGTGGCTCACGCCTGTAATCCTAGCACTCTGGGAGGCTGAGGCGGGCGGATTGCTCAAGGTCAGGGGTTCGAAACCACCCTGAGCAAGAGTGAGACCCCCGTCTCTACTGTAAATAGAAAGAAATTAGTTGGCCAACTAATATATATAGAAAAAATTAGCCAGGCATGGTGGTGCATGCCTGTAGTCCCAGCTACTCTGGAGGCTGAGGCAGGAGGATTGCTTGAGCCCAGGAGTTTAAGGTTGCTGTAAGCTAGGCTGATGCCACAGCACTCACTCTAGCCTGGGCAACAAAGTGAGACTCTGTCTCAAAAAAAAAAAAAATACAAACATCTCAACAACCCTGGCCATGTTCCTTTTCCCAAATTCAACATTTCATCTCACTAGCCAACTCACTATAGAGTCTGTATGTCACCTCTGGGGACATCTGTTTTGTGCTTCTGATATAGGGACAGAGAAAGGTCATTAAACAACTCATACCTTTCACAGACATGCCACTAGAAGGTCTGAAATAGAGAGCTGGGGAATGCGCAGCAATAGAAAAAATGGAATCTTACAACCTGCTACTTAATGGATTATCTTTACTGTCAGCATAAGTGACTACAGAGGGAATAGCTTCTATTCAAGGATATAACTGGCATGCACAGACACAGATCCTTTGGCTAACCCAAGACTAGATCCCTTTAAAAGACATATAAACCATCCTGAGCCTGCAACTGCTTCTCATTTACATAGCTTCTAACAGCATCTTTTCCCTCATTAATTATGGTCTTTTGCCATCTGGCTCTCCACACCTAGAACTCTCTGCTTTGCTAAAAACTAGGTTCCCTTTCATTTGTCCTCTCAGTCTTCAAGAACCCCACCACATTAAAACCCAATCAGATAAGTATTCTTAATTAGAAAATGACTGCCATAGGTCTATTTCCAGAAAAACTAGTAAATAATCTATTAATATAAAGCAAGGAGGCTGGGCGCGGTGGCTCACACTTGTAATCCTAGCTCTCTGGGAGGCCGAGGCAGGCGGATTGCTCAAGGTCAGGATTCAAAACTAGCCTGAGCAAGAACGAGACCCCGTTTCTACTATAAATAGAAATTAACTGGCCAACTAGTATATATAGAAAAAATTAGCCAGACATGGTGGCACATGCCTGTAGTCCCAGCTACTTGGGAGGATGAAGCAGAAGGATTGCTTGAGCCCAGGAGTTTGAGGTTGCTGTGAGCTAGGCTGATGCCACAGTACTCACTCTAGCCTGGACAACAAAGTGAGACTCTGTCTCAAAAAAATATAAAAAATAAAAAAATAAAGGAACACTGCTCTAAAAAGACAGGTTTTATGCTCCTCTCCACCATTCAAAAAACTTTAAGGCAGAGGGCCAGCTCACATAATTTCTTTCCCATAATTTTTTTTAAAGGGGGGGGGGGGGAATCTTGCTACATTGTCCAGGCTAGAGTTGCGACAATAGCACATTTGCACTACAGCCTCCAACTCCTGGGCTTAAGAGATCCTTTCCAGCTTCTGTGGTAGCTGGGATGAAGGTAGAAGAAAATAATGAATGAGGCATGCCAGAAAATCAAAATGCTTACAACTGTTAAGAAGTTAAGGCTAAGGAACTTTCTGCTTGGGAAATTAGAGTGGTAGGCATTATTAGGGATATTCTATATCTCAGCCTAGCATTTAAAACTTTTCAAAACAGCTCCACTCCAGCTAGTTCATTTCCATTTACGTATTTTTGCTTATGTTGTAATGCTCCTCAAAACCTGTAAGCCTTCCCATCTCTTGCTTGCTTCCCCAAGAACCTAATCTTTTTTTTTCTTCGAGACAGGGTCTTGCACTGTCCCCCAGGCTAGAGTGCAGTGGTGTCACCAGAGCTCACTGTTAACATCAAACTGCTGGACTCAAGCAATCCTCCTACCTCAGACTCCCTAGTAGCTGGGAGTACAGGCATGCACCACCACACCTGGCCCATTTGCTATTTTTTGTAGAGACAGGGTCTTGCTCTTGCTCAGGCTGATCTCAAATTCCCAGCCTCAAGCAATCCTCCTGCCTCAGAATCCTAGTCTGAATTCATCTCTTCCATTAGCCTTGTCCCACACCAATCACTCCCTCAGCTTTCTATTTACCATGTACTATGTTCCTGCTTCCTGGCAACTCCACATCGTGATTTTTCCTTTGGTCTCCTTTTAAAGTCTTGGATAGAGTTCATCACCAAAGGGATGATTACTTGTTGAATAAACTTCATACAGTTAGGTCTTGAGAAGAATATCATATTTAAGATAAACTGAGAGGCTGAGAAGTTTCAAGAGATTGTGAACACCTGGGCTGGCAATGGTTGGAGAACAATCTATGACAGAAAGGAGAGAATAACCGGCTTCCCACAGAGCTGGTCTGGGCATTATTCTGGTCCTTTAACAGTTACCTGTTTAGGGTCCTGTATGCACCTTCCACGTTCCCTTCCTGTACCATCACAGTCCTAGCAATGAACTTGAGATGATTTGCCATGACCTTGGATTTAAGTCTCCACACTGCAGGACCTAAAAGATGACGGAGAAAGGACATAAAACACACTTTACCGAGAGACTTATTTGGGATCTGGAAATGCAAAGCGCTCAGTGACACAGGAGACGGGGCACATGGAAGTTTTCATGTATGCGCAAATTGTTATCAAGACTCCCCCGTTCTTTTTCCTAATACAAACACTAACATAGAGAAGAAAAGAGATGGTAGCAGCACGTCACCACGCAGTCTTGCGTTGTAGCGCATTGGAGGACAGAAGCAGCAAGGACGCGCAGCACAGGGCCCCAACTATCACACACAAACCCAAAAGGGTTTGGGCTGGAAGTTGGGAAAGAAGTCTCTGTCGGTCTTTAGAAAACGAGGTAACAGCGCGCAAAATTGCCCTCCCGCCACGACCACCCCGCTTTTCCCCAACCTGCACAAAATCCCGAACCCGCGCGCTCAGTACCCAGCGAACTCGCAGCCTTCTCGCGACCGGAAGCGGAAGCTACGGAATCTCTGCGCCGCGTAATTGAAGCCGGGATTAATGGGAGAAAACACTGCGTGGAAACCATGGCAACAGTCTTTCTGGCAGTCTCCCCGAAAGCACCCCACCGGCCTCTACATCTGAAAAAGGAGAATACTTCTTGATTTAAATTCCCCCGAAACAGGTTCCTCGCCTTCTCATGGAATCGTAGTCCTTCAGCCCCCGAGAAGGTCAGCCCCATTTCACATCTGTCAATCCTAAACTCCTAAAAAATATTTAAGCCATTTCTCTTTGTAGATGGAGAATGTGAGAAATAGGGGAAGCTTCTTGTTTTCTCTGAAGAAAGGACAGACTCTTTGAGATCTGATCTCTGGAAGAAAAACAGCTTCACACCCATAATCTGCTTGAAAAATAAGGAAAGAAACAAAATGAACAGAGAGTTTCCTATATCAGTCTTTCTAGCCATTTTACGAAATAAAGTGAAATCCCTGAATAAAAAATATGGAAGGCCAGGAGCGGTGGCTCACGCCTGTAATCCTAACACTTTAGGAGGGCCAGACTGGAGGAGGGTCTCTTGAGGCCAGGAATTCGTGACCAGCCTGAGAACAGAACGAGATTCTGTCTCTACAAAACCCAGAAAAATTAGCCTGGCGTGGTGGCGAGCACCTGTAGCCCCAGCTACTCCTCAGGCTAAGGCGGGAGGATCACTTAAGCCCAGAAGTTTGAGGTTACAATGAGCTGCGGTGGCTTCACCACAGCTAACAGAATGAAAACCTGTCTTAAAAAAAAAAAGTGATATGGGAAACAGCTGCAGGATTTAAAATCAAGGACTCTTTTATGTGCGTTTCTGTGCCATTTGCCTCCTAGTGAGACCTGGTGGAAATATTTCCTTTTTAATTTCTTCTTCACTGCGGAGACAACCGTCCTTTTATCTGTATGCTTGCTTCCACATATCCATGTATGGTTATTCACTTAAGTTCAGGTCTCATGGCTATGGAAAAATGTACTTTCCCTACAGCTTGAAAGGGCAGGCGTATACACACACACACCTCATCAGTTATGCTAATAGGAACTCGCACAAAACCTTAAGCCCACTTCAGAACAGGCCAAGTCCAAAGTACCAAAAGAGAACTAGACTGGGACATCATTGTGGTTATCAACAAAGTTTTATTGAATGCCTACTCTGTGCAAGGTACTGTTGATATTATTCCAGTGCCTCTTGGACCACTAGAAGACATTATGTAGACATACCAGATAAATAGTAAAACAAGGTAGCATACAATAAATGCAAAATAAATTATATAGGCCACAGCATAATATGACGGGAAGGCACTGGATTAGAAGTCAGAAGGTCTGGATCCTACCTGAATTCTGATGCTCATCAGGCATATGACCTTGAACAAATAACATAAAACCTGGGGTCTGCAAATTACTGCCTGCAGGTCAGATCCAGCTCCACCTGTTTTTGTAAATAAAACTATTGGAACACAACCATGCTCATTTGTTTATATATTAGGTATGGCTGCTTTGGGCCACAATGGCAGAGTTGGGTAGTTGCAAAAGACATGGATAGCCTACAAAGCCTAAAATATTTACTATCTGGCCCTTCCCAGATTTAAACTCCACCTATTTACTCATCTCTAAAATGGGACGAATATCTTCCCCTTCAGTCTCATAAAATCTGGCTTGGGAATAAAATGGGATAAAATATAGATACTTTGAAACAAAGGAAGGGGAAAAGTATATTTTTGAGAGCCTACTGTATACCAAATCCTGTACTAGGTGTTTTATATACATGATCCTATTTGATAAAGGGCCATTGAGCCTATATATCACAGTGAACAGAAAGAATGACAGAGATGAACTTAAATCAGTCATTGAAAGAGGGTAGGATTTAGATAACAGAAGCAGGAAAGGCTGGGCAAGACTAACAGCATGAACAACAGCTTAGAGGCAAAAAGATGTAGTGTTCAGGGGTGAATAAAAAATTGCAACAGAAGGATAATGTAGGGGAGCAGAGGGAGAAATAGAAAACTCGGCTAATGATTTTGGATTTCCTTCTCAAAGCATTGGGGAGCCACTGAAGAATCTGAATAGGGAATGACATGCAAAGCACTGTTCTAGGAAAATTAATCTGGTTGTTAATGAGAAGGGATTAAAGGTAAGAGAGATCACTGCTACAATAAAAGTCTAGATCACAGTGGTGGCAATGGAATGGATAGAAAGAAATGAATTTTTAGTGACATTCCAAAAAATAAAAAAGAACTGATGATCAAATGGCACCAACTTTTAAGCCTAATTATCTGGAAAAATGGTGGCACCATAAGTAGCACTAATAGAAGAGGAGAATGTAAAAAGGAAATTTGATTGGTGTAAAGGAGATTTGATTGTTGAAAAGGATATTTGATTGCTGATCACTGGAAAACACACCAAATTGGAAACCAAGAGTTTTGTACCATTCATTGTGCTGTCTTGGACAAGTCACCTAAGTTTCCCTATCTATAAAATGAGGAGGTTGAGTTGAATTAGATATACAAAAGGTACATCTTGGCTCTAAAATGATGAAATTTTTGGTAATTTTTAAGTGTCAGCAACATATAAACTGTCCACAGAAATTTAAACATTCAGTATGCTGGCCAGGCACAGTGGCTCAAGCCTATAACCCTAGCACTCTGGGAGGCTGAGGCAGGAGGATGGCTCAAGGTCAGGAGTTCGAAACCAGCCTGAGCAAGAGCGAGACCCCATCTCTATTAAAAATAGAAAGAAATTAATTGGCCAACTAAAAATATATAGAAAAAATTAGCCGGGCATGGTGGTGCATGCCTGTAGTCCCAGCTACTCAGGAGGCTGAGGCAGGAGGATTGCTTGAGCCCAGGAGTTTGAGGTTGCTATGAAATAGGCCGATACCATGGCACTCTAGCCTGGGCAACAGAGTGAGATTCTGTCTCAAAAAACAAAACAAACAAACAAACAAAAAAAACCATTCAGTATGCCATCTCAGGGGAAAGGCTGGTATTGAAGATGAAGCTTTAGCAGTCTTCTAAGTTGAAGCAATAATTAAAGCCACGAAAGAAGAGGAAACCTTTACTTGAAACAATGTAGTCAGAGAAAAGGGCCAAGGCCTGAGCCTTGGGGAACACCTACACTCTGGAGAAGGTGAAAGCAGAACCATTGAGAGACCTAGGAGCTGCTGCCAAATAGGTAAGAGGAGAATTAGGATAGTGTGCTATCCTAACTGAAACAGGAGTTTCAATAGGCAGCATCAAGAGTATCAAGTGATACAAAAAACATAAAGTACCATAGCGTTTGTAAAATGTTTAGCTGTTGATTAGGTGGGAATTACATTATAATACTGATTCAGTGGGTGTATTAGTGACTTTGGAAGGTGCAACAAAGTGAAAGCAGTGGAAGCTAGGCTGAAAGGGGTTAACAAATGAGTGATAAGAAGTAATCAGAAAGATTAGACTACTCTGTCAAGACTTATGGAGTAAAGAAGAGAAAGAGGACAATTAGGCTTGAGAGATGTTTTAAAGGAAGGGGGATCCGATAATACTTGTGGGAGAAATAAATTATTATGGGGAATAAATTAAACTAACAAGAGGAGATATGTGATACAGCAAAGTTCTTGAGGTAGAAGATAAGCAAAAGCACAAATGGAGAGGTTTGCCTTAGAAAGGTCATATTCTCTGAAATAAAGGGAGGCAATTATTCACTGAGAACAGAAGACTTGAGAAATGGGGAAAAGATGTGTAAGTTGCTATGAGAAACATATTAAGGAACCAATAAGAAATGATTAAGATGACAGAATAGCCTGATACTCTACAAAGGCTTAAGATGAGAGAGAAAATGGTTTTGGTGGAAAGTGGGACAAACCAGCAAGAGAGTAATACAGAGAGAAGGGTAGAGATAGATTCATGGAATTCATTTTTGCCTCCTTACAATACTGAGTACCCTTCCTTAATCAAGCATACATCAAGCAGCTGCAGCTTTTTGAGTAAGAATGAGGGCCAGTGTCTGAAGGTTCCTCCCACTCTGAAAGGTTCCTCCCTCTTCAAAACTGGCAACCACAGTGGCTGTTTTAGCCTTTGTGCCCCTCCTCTGGCAGCAGCAGGTTACATATGCATTTACCCACGAGCATCAACAGCTACCATCAAACCAAGAGTAATCCCAGAGCAGAAGAACCTGCTAGTCTGGGCCATCTGGAAGATTACAAGGGCGAGACACACAAAGGGAAAGGTACTAGTCTCCAAGTCTGAACAAAAATAAATAAACAAACCCAACTCTGACCCTGTAACTTGTCCCCAAAGGTGTTCCCTGGGAAAGCAGAAGCAGAGAGTTCCTTTTCCTCTTATATTGTCCCACCTAGACTCTAACTTGGTGGAGCGCATGTTCACAAACATTCCCATCCCTTTTCTTCTTTTCTGTAGCTCAGAGGATAAAGATTGGTATTTGAGGCAGAAAGTTTTCAACTTCCTCCAATCAGCAAACTGTTTAGGTAAAAAATTCTTTAATTAGAAAGGATTTATCTTCCTTCAACACAGGTGCACACATTAAAAGTAAAAATACATATATACATAAATATTCACACAAATTAGAAACCACAGAGGACAGTTTCATGTCCTGGGTTAGAGGTTGAGAAGATGGGCATCAGAAGCACCTGGAGGATGGCTTCTCATCTGCTGTTCTAGCTGTCCTATGGTCATTTCTCTGGCCATGGTGGGTAGACTGGGAGGTGAGAGGGTACAGCTCCAGTCTGATGGCATGGTTACTGGCAAACTATAGCAACGAGGCCCCTCTCCAGATAGTTTCTTAGTATCACCAGAGATGACAGGAGATGTTGTAGTAGGTGGTACCGGAGTGGTTGGGGTAGAGTGGGTGAAGGGCTGCACTCCATGTTGGACGAAAAGGATG